AAGAATGAAAAAGTGAAGGAAGAAGTTATCAAATACAAGTTTACTAGTGAAGAAGTTAAGTCCAAGTTTGCTGAATTAATTTTTAACAACTAAATTTCCAGATTGAGTGAAAAGAATTAGAAATTACGTTTGGCAGGTATGTTATTTAGTAAATTATTTGCTTTAAAACTATGCAGAATTTTTATTATTTTATTTTTATATAGCTTTTGAGAATCTTCTAATAATATTAGAAAAGATAGATCTATCTAAAGTAAAAACTCTAAACAGTTCAGTTCAGTCTGAATTAGATACTAATCCATATCTGAACTAAAAATTTCAGTTCAGTACAGTTCATATTATTAATCTTAAAAATGCTAATCTAAATCTGAACTGAATCACAGACCCAAAATGGAAAGGACCTTATTACATCCATGAGATCTTGATCGGTAAAAATTTGAACTGAACTAGAATTTTCAGATATATCTAAAATTAAAATTATATAAGAAATCCGCTATTTATATGCAAAACTCTAAGAGAATCACAATTTTTTATGATTCTTCAAGAATTTTGCAATATTTTTTGCGAAATACTAAGAGAAATCGCAAAAATTGCGATTCTTCAAAGGTTTCGTGATTTTTTTGTGAAATTCGAAGAGAAATCAACATTTTTTTGTAACTCTCCAAAAGTTTCGCAATATTTTTGCAAAATTTTAAGAGAAATTGCAAAAAATTGCGATTCTCTAAGAGTTTCACTAAATTTTTGTGATTCTCTTAAAGAATTCGCAAATTTTGCAATCTTCCAAGAGTTTTACATATAATTGAACTGAACTTTCAGATTAATCTGAAATTATCAGTTCAGTTCAGATTTTTTTCAGTTCAGATTAGAATTATAATCTAAAAAAAATCTGAACTGAACTGAAATTTTTGGATTGATTTTTATACAATCTGAAACTGATCTGAATTAAACTGATCTGAAAAATCTTTGGATTAATCTGAAATGTTCAGAGCTTTAAACAGAGTTGTTTATCAGATTTCTTTCTATTAAACCTAGCTGAAAAGAAAGCAATTTTCAGGTTTATATTATATTGAGCTTAGAGGAAAATAATATTGTATAATGCGTATTAACTTAAGTTTTCAATTTTAGATTTTATTAAAAGTATTTAATATAATAGAAATACTTTGTCAAAAGGTTCCATCATTTAGGAAAATCAGTGACAGCATTAGCAATATCATGTAAAATGCATTTATCTTATATCACAACTTTTTTTCATCAAAATATAATATAATATTTATATTTGTTACTGTAGTATTTATAGAGAAGTTGTGTAACATTAAATTAAAGAAAAGTGCAGGAGACATATTAATGGCTTTTTCTGAAAAAATATTCTTATAATTTGTAATTTCATAAGATTAGTAGTTATAGTGTCTAAATTAATAAATATTTAAAATACTAATAAAATCTTTAAATACAGTATATGACTTATTACATAAAACAAAAATACCTAAGACATTAGCTGATAGTTTAACATAAATACATGATGCTATTATGGAGTTTTGAATTAGTAGCTTTTCAAATACACGAGCTGATTGAATTTTTCAAATTCGTATTAAGCAGTCATAATACAACTGTTTGCACAAATGCTATCATCATTTTGGGAACTTTGTGTATTTTTGTAAGACCAGGTAAAAAAAGGAAATTTGTTAAAATAATCATATATATTTCTCAATTGTAATATAATATATAATATATATAATATTTTATTTATGTTGTAGATATAAGAATATTTATTTAAGACTTAAATTATGCATAACTAGCTGCAATTGATAGTGAATTTGAGAAAGTAGCTAACGAAGCACTACTAAAAACATTAAAAATAAGCGTATGTATCTTCAAACCTAGAATCATTTTTATATATATTGATTTTTTATTTAATCTATTTATACATTTAAAAAGGTCAATATTATAAGCAAGGGTGGTAGTGGAAAAGATTTTTTTGAAGAATTATTTCCTAAAGTTGATGTTAGTGCACAATTTACTAGTAAAATGATAACTGTAAGTTTTTTTAATTGGTGATTATATTTTCTTTGCTTAATGGTAAATAGTTGATATAATAATATATATTATTAGGAATGCAACAATAATAAATGAAAGTTTGAAAGAATGCACTCAATTAAGTTCTTACTATTATTGATGCTAACAAGAAAATTAAACTAAGCTTACGTTTGTTAATATATAAATAAACTTTAAAAAAAAGTAAAATAACCTTATTTATAATATTTGTATTAAAGGTGACTTCATTCCTATTCTAAAAGAGCAGCTATCAAATATTAATAAAAATTTACAAATAATGACTTTAGATATAACTTCTAAGCTTGCTACTGCAATAGGAAAGTTATTTGACAGACATATTAAAATATTAGTAGCATCAATCATTATTATTCTTACAGATAAAAAAACAATATTCTGTGATAGTGCTATTGGAATCTTGAATGCTTTAGCGAATGCTTATAGGCTCAATCCTTTAATTAGTTCATTTTCAATAAGTCTTGCAATAGATAATCCTTTATTAAGAAAAGATTTATTGAGTTAGCTTTCTGAATATCTCAAAGAATATGTAGAGTGTAATAAAAAGAATGCGTTATCAAATTTATTACTCATGGTTCAACCAATTCTATCTTGCTTATAAGATCAGAATAGTGAAGTTAGAAAAGCTGTACAGGTTTATTTAGAAGTTATAATAAAAAGTGCCAGATACAATCATGTGGTAGCAAGATGTGATAATTTAAAAGGTGCAATAAAACAGACAATTATGCTGATAATAGAAGCTATTTGACTAACAGATCTTAGTAGCCCTACTGCGAGAAGGGCTGCTAAAAAGGCAGGCCTAAAATTTTGACTTGCTACACTATCAGACAAGGATAAAGATAATGAAATAAATGGTGATGTATCAGTGAAATTGTCACCAGGATTATTATTAGCCAATTTAACATTTAATAAACTTACTGCATTATTAGCAAGTCCATTATTTATGACAAATCCTAATACATTGAATATACTTACAAGTGGACTACCCTCTTTATTAGCACAACCTAGTAATATTAGTAGAATCTAATCATCTTCTCAAAGAGGTGGCATTCTAGCATTACTACCTCTGTTAAGATGTTCTAGTGTAAATAACAGTTTCATGGATGAGAATAAAACTAAGAAAAATATGTCAATTAATAATTCAGAATATTACCTATCAGATAATAATAAAATAAATGATATTCTACATTATCTAGGATTACCTCCTGCTATATAGTGAATATTTAAGTGTGATTTTGTTTTAATAGTTGAGATTATCATAATTAAAATTATAAGTACAGAGTTTCAACAAAGTATAGAGATATTGAAAGAGTTGAACAAATATTTGAACACTTTTCCTGAATTCATTATTCCTGATGTAAATGGATTCATAAATGCTTTAGTATTCTAAGTTCGAATTTCTTATATACAGCTTCAATAACAATCACAGAATTTAATTCATCTTTGTAATCCTCTTGTTAACGCTTTAGTACTATTATTTTAAATAAGAATTTGACATTAGCTATATCTCAAGATTTACTTAACCATTTATTATCTGAGCTAGCATATCGTTTATTAGATCCTAACCTTTTAGTAGTGGATGGTGGTTAACAATTATCAAAACGCTTAATATCTTAATGATTAAAATATTTAAAAATAATGATTGTAACAGAATGTATAGGTGAGAGATATAATTTCCTATTTTAAAAAAAATTATTACTCATTAATATTTACTTATTATTATTTTTTCATTTTTTTAATGCATTAATTTCAATACTAGAAAAATCATCATATAATTTGCATAAGGTTGATGTGATCACTGCTATCATACAAACAAAGCTTACTGAATTAATTATGAAATGTTTATGGAAAGTAGCAAAGACACTTTAAGATAATTTGAAGGCTAGTATCCTTTCACTGAATCAATTATTACATAATATTAATAGTTTCTTTTTAGTAACTTCACCAGCTGAATGGAAAAGATGAGCAGCGAAAAAGGTATCATTAAGTGAAATTCCTTTACGTACAATTAAAATATTGTTACTTAAATTGGTAACAGGTCTTGGTGATAATGTATATGAACATTTAGACCTTATTGAAGATCCTCAAAGTAGTTATGTTTATTCTTATTTACATATGATCAAGGCTACTAAGAAGGATAAGCTAATTAGCAATTCAACAATCACTTATAATGATATATTAGGTTGTTCATCTTCAATATTATCAGATTGATCTTTTAGTTCATTTAGTTTATCTGATTCTGACTTGATATATACCTCTACAAATACTGCAAGAACTTCACCTTTAAATGAAGCTTCAATTAGAAATAATTCATTGACAAGAAATTCTTCATTAGCTAAAAGTTGTCTACCAACTAGAAGTTCTCCTATACCTAAAGTTTCTGATTATATTGAAACAATATTAAATGCTTCAGATCCAGTAAGTCTAATGTTATCACATACTCTAATGACTCTGAAATTCACTACATTAATTAGTAGTGCATGTTTATTAGATTTAGATGAAGAAATAAATAAATAGTTAACTTAAATTTTCTTTAAAATTGAAATGAGAGAAGATATAAAAAGGTAATTATAGGGAATTAATTAAATAAATAATTAATAGAATTAAATAATCATTGATCTAAATTATTTGAAATTTTGTTTATTCAGGGTATATATAAATTATATGAATTTCAAAAATAATACCCTAATATGAAAGGTAAGATAACAACACATTTATCTAGAACAGGCCTATATTTCCAAAGTTATATTCACTATAAACTTGCTAATATTGCTATAAAAGAAGAGGAAAAGGATAAAGAAAGTGCTAATCTATGTATGTTATTTTAATTATAATAAAAATTTTGTTCTATTTTGGATTTAATTTAATAATATTTTTTATGATTTTAGTTTCTTAAAATTCAAACAATTATAATAATACAGAGGATAATATAAGTAAGATTATAATCATATATTTTATATTAATTTGATTGAAATATTCAAATTAAAATTTTATTAACTTTAAATATCTAAATGAACAATGTAAAATAAAACTTTTGAGACTACAACAAATGTTTGATTATCCAGTTAAGCAAATTATAAATGAATGAATATATGGTAAATACAATTATAAATGTATGCCAAAAGCCAATCTTTCAAAAGTCATCATAACCAAGAAATTAATAATCAATTAGTTGACTTAATCTAAATGTTATTGAATCAATAACTGCATTATACAATTTGTATATATCTGTAACAATAAAAAATGTAAAATTTTTTTAAATAATTTTTTTTTTTTGCTCAATTAAAAAAATTACTATATATAAAATTGAAGTATGAAATCTGTAAGATTTTTGTTTAATAAGGCTTATGATATAAATACAAATAAAGCTTGACTTTTTATAAGCATAATATATAATCCGGTCAGAATTATTAAATATGAATTTAAAATTTATACCTAATTGAAATACAGAAATTTAAATGTGAAAAAAAATTTAAGTATTTTAACCGTAATATAAATCTGTGTAAAATTATGAAGAATTATGAATATTACCTGCAAATATTGCTAATTTACAACATTAATTATACTTTCACTCATTAATAAGAATACATAATTTTTAATCAATATGTATAAGTGAAATTGTTTTGGAATTTGATGTGACATTTTCACTTAGTATTTTAGTATGGTCAAAAACTAAAAGCTGAAATTTATCTGTCTGATTTTTTTTTTTATAATATAGTAAATTATATATATGACAATTATATAATATTTATTAGAAATTGATTAATTATATTAAAAATAGTTTATTTAGATCTATTATTTTTCTACCTTTACTTTTTTATTTATTGTTGTAAAAGAAGCAAAAATCATAATTGTGGTTTGTATTAATTGAATGTTTATTGAGAAAAGAATTGAAAAAAGAAATAGTTTCATGATGAAAAAAAAATAATTGTGATTCTGGACTCTTCAGAGTTCAAAATTAACCAATTAAGTTTGACTTTCTGAGTAAATTTGTTATTCTTTACAGATCTCTTATTATAAAAAATTAACGATAAATTAAGAAATAGATAAAATTCAAAGATCAATTAATTAATTCTTTAGCTTAAAGGCTTTAGGTTATCTAAACTTCCAATTTTAGTTAACTTGAAAAATTTGGTTAAGAATAATTGGCAGTTACGTTTCAAAATTTTGATTGGCTAATACTTAAAAATATTACACTTTTGCCAATCTAAAGATAAAAAATTTTTTTATAATAGCATTTATATAATAAATATATAAATATACACTTTTAAGTATATACTTCAATAATCCGCTTTTATCCCTAAAGGTTTACTTAGTAATATAAAGCATAATACTAACTTAAAATTGTTAAAAATTTAACTTTAAAAATGAAAAATAGACTGGCTGCTAAAATATTACTATGCTTATTTGAAAGGTTTTTTGCTAAATGTTCAGAATATTCAGAAAATTAATTAGTATCATGTAAAGATGACACTGCAACCAGTAATGTATATTTTTGATGTCTCAGAGATTTGTTGTCCCAGCTATACTTTACTGAAACTTATCAATTTGAAAAAATATAGTAAAAATATTTTTAACATATATTAGGTATATGGCAAATGTATTTATGTTAAGTTTATTATAACTATATTTTTTTCATATACCAAAAATATGTTAAAAATATACCAAATTAATATAATAATAATGTAATAATTATACATTAAAAATATGTTTAATATATACTGTATACATAAATATAGCTAAAATATAAAACAAATGTAAATTTAATATTTTTATTCTATGTCTAAAATAAGTTTACATATAAAGGTAATATTTTTGTCAACTGTTAAAAATATGATCAAAATATATTAATATTATAATATATATATAAAAGAAATATATAGAATATATCTTACAAATTATATATCGAAATTTTCTTTTCAATAACATGAAAATTGGATTTCTAATATCTAATAAATAATTCCAAATCAAAACGTTTAAAATTTCCTATCTTTTAATATTTTATCTATCTATATTACTTTGTAATAAAATTCATTTAAAATATAATTTCGATTAGTTTCATCATGCTCAATATTGCTGCATGTATTTGTATAATTATGTATAAAATGAACATAAGATATATGATCGATAAAATTAATTGGAAAGATTTAATACTAATGCAATTCTTCAGACTTTTAGATATCATAAAGTAAGCATTCTGATACAGTATTAATATAGTCTATCACCTAAAACTAATCAAATAAAAAAAAAGCATAATAGTGACTATTGTTTGCTTAATGTTAAATAATTGAATTGATCCTTGCATATGCAATACCTTCAGATTCTTTATTTAGTTTAACAATATCACCAATTCATACAGTAGCGGTCATAAGTATCCGATCGCCCGAGATCGTCCAAAATTATTATATAACTACCCCTTAAATTTTCCAGAAATATAATATAACACAATACATGATC